TAGCCGAAGTTATCCAATTTTTGGTCGGTTTTCACTATGCATTGATGGCCGAAAACTTAACTAGCACTAAAAAATTCAAAATTTCTCAGATTTTGGCGATAAACCCAAATTTCAGTTGTCAAAAACTTAATGGTTGCTGAAAAATTCAAACTTTTTTTAATTTTTGGAGACCAAAAATTTTTTTTTTTAAATTTTCAAAAAATTCCAAAGTAATCCCTTTTGTTTTCTAAACACTTTTTGAAACCCAAATTTTTCAAAAAGAATCCCAAACCTCCTAGATCTAAAATTTTATTCTCAAAATTTTTTTTTAAAAATTTTTTATTTGTTGCTGGTTTCTCAAAGACTACTGTGATTGCTTTTTTTTTTTTTTTTTTTTTTGCAGAACCCTAGTTTTTTTTCTTTTTTGTTCTTTCCTTTTTCTTTGGTAGAAATTAGCTTTATTTATAGAGCTTCCGGGTGAAAAATTTGGAGGCCTACCTGGTGACTTTTGGTTACCGAATTTCATGCTACTAAATTAGGCAGTGTCAGGAAGAAAATATCATTCTGGCAGCTTGATTTCAACTATCAGAGTTGAAACCAACATTTTTTTTTGACTTTTTTTTCTTTTTTAGATTAATAACAATAATAATAATAATAATAATAATAATAATAATAAACAAAATTACATCGGTTAAAATGGGTGTCTACAGCTCAAGAAAAAGATAAAGGGTGGAGCAACCGATTCCTGTCAAAGAGAGTTAAGGAAGTATTTATAAAGGTTGTTTTACAGGTAGTGCCCTCGTATGCAATGAATGATTTTGCTTTGCCAAAGTCCTTGTGCAAAGAAATTGCTAGCATATAGAGCTCATCTTGGTGGAGTAGTGGAAAGAAGGAGAAAGGAGTATATTGGTTCAAATGGAGCTAGATGTGTACGACAAAGAGTGCAGGTAGAATGGGGTTTCACCATATGGAAGCTTTCAATAAGGCACTTCTAAGCAAAGAAGGATGGAGATTGTTGAAAATAACGTCATCAATGACATACAGAGTCTTGAAAGGGATATATTTCACAAATGGGGACTTTTTGGAAGCAAAGCTGGGAAATAACCCATCCCTGATGTGGCATAGCATTTTGGGTGCTCTAGACCTGTTCAAACGTATTATTTGGTGGAGAGTGGGCACAGGTGAAGGAATAAGAACATGGAAGGACAAATGGGTGGAAGTCAAGGATGAGATAAAACCCATACGAATCGGAAAGGACTTGGATGAGAACATGCTTGTGAGTGCTCTGATCGATAGCGAAACCAAAAAATTGGAACAAAGACTTGGTGTATAGCTTGTTCACAGCGGAGGAGGCTGATGCCATCTGTGCTACCCTAATAGGATCACTAAATCAGCCTGATACATTGATATGACACCACAATAATAATAATGGAGTATACACGGTTAGAAGTGGATACAGACTCCTAATGGAAGACATGATGGCATGGAGGATGAGCAGTTCATAAATGGATGGGATGGGGCCCAATGCAAGAGACTGTGGAACAAAAATATACCAAATAAAGTGAAGGTCTATAGATGGAGAATGATCCACGAGATCCTACCAGTGAAATCAAAGCTAATGACAAGAAAGGCAATTAGAGAAGAAAGCTATCCAAGATGTGATGAACCGAGAGAGTCAATTATTTATGCTCTACATGGCTGTCCTGTAGCAAAAGAGGTTTTGCAACTCGCAGGGTTTGCATGGGAAAGAGGGGATGATAGTATCAACAACGCCTCAAGCTGGACAAAAACAGTGGGTGAGAAACTGGATGCAGAAACATTTGGCCGATTCATTACAACAATATGGGCTATATGGAATAGTAGAAATGAAGAAATGTATGGAGGAACCAAATGAGGCTCACAACAAACCTCTGGATTTGCAGTGTCATTTTTAGAAGAGTGAAAAGCAGCACAAGTGAAAAAAGGAACTCATGCAATAATGGATTTGAGGGCTGGAAGGCACCACCAGGTATGCAGGTAGAAGTGAATTTTGATGGGGCTTTCAACAAAAACATGCGAGTAGGAGGAGTGCGGTTCATAATAAGAGATCACGAAGGAGAAGTGCTAGGGGCTCTTGCTGTAAGAGTACATGATGTACAGAAAGCATGTATGGTAGAAAGCTGGGCAGCAGTCAAAGCTTTGGAGCTGGCTAGGGATATAGTGTTCTGAAAAATTATACTAAAGGGTGACGCACTGGAAATCATTAAAAAGATCGAAACTGCATGCATGGATCTTTCCCCTTGTAGCATAATCTTTGATGAAGCCCGAACGCTTGCAGGAAAAATACAGAGCTGCACGTTTAGGCACACAAGACGTGAGGGGAACGTGGCAGTGCACCAATTGGTAAAACATGGGGAACAAGTTGAGAGTGATTAAATCTGGGTAGAGGAGTGTCCCAGTTTCTTGACTGATATTGTTGAAAGGACTGTAATGGTTTTTCAATTTTAATATAATGAATGCTCTTTAAAACAAAAAAAACAAAAAACAATTATGCTTCGTTGTAGTAATGGAAAATATCAATTAAAAATAAAGAGAAACTTCATATGAAAGGGAAAGATACCTAATCTAAACGCACCTCTCTTCACTTTCATTAGGCTAAGGAAAAAAAAAAAAAAAAAGGAAATAGGACAACTGAATTACTTATGGTAATTTTAGTTTTTTTGGCGGCCAATCCCAAATTATGCCTGCTTAAATTTTGGCGGCCACTTGGAGCAAAACATGGGGATTTAGGCCGTTGGAGTTGAACGAGTCAGGGGACTTAGGCTCCGGCCTTTTTATTCAAGGATATGGCTAATGTAATGGCTAGCTAATTCAAAGGTGGAGAATTTGGTCATTGTCTTCTTCTCTTCTTTGATTGGACGCTGAATTGAACTTTCCTTGTTTTATAAAAGTAAATTGACAAAGAACACGCAAGGATTTTCTCGAGGAGAAAATTATAACTATAATTTTCATACAAAATTTAATAGATTTTATATAATTTTAAATTATGATGATTAATTATATTATAATAATTATAAGTGATATGTTCTCAATATTATTGCTGAAACTAGTTTTTGCGTTCAAAAATTACTTTTAACCCAATCTCAATATTAAAAAATAAAAAATACGATTATTTTTGGATTAAAAATCCGGTTTATAAACTCAGCCAAAGAATTAAGTGCTTTTATTATAAGAAAGTATATTTGAAATAAAAAATTATTATATTATTCTTATGTTTTTAATATTTTATATAATTTTTAAATATTTCAATTACTCACAATATTTTTTTATAATAATATCAAATATTTAAAAATTTTAATCACAATTTTTTAATATACTTATAAATGTAATTTTTTTTCATCTATAATAGCAGTGCTTTAAAAAAGAAAAAAGGAAGTCGTTAAAATTGAAAAGACTCAAAGTCCTTGGAGTTATCATTTTATAAAAAAACAAAGCAAAGAAAGCTACACTTAAAAAGATGTATAACTTTCTGTGGCCAAAAATGTTTCCTTTGTCTCTAGCTCCTAAACAACGACCAAACGCCTTTGATTCGGATCACAGCATATTTCCGTTCCTAAGTTTTTTTTTTTTAGTATTTTTAATAATTTTAAATATGATATGATAAAAAAATTTAAAAATAATATAACTTAAAATATTAATATAAATTAAATATAAACCAAGTAAAATTTAATAAATATTTTTTGTATTTGATTTATTAACACAAATTATAATATAATAATTATTTATATTTAATACATATTTAGCATAAAAAAAATTCAATATCAATAAACAAATTGTCAAATTTATTTTTTAACACCCAAAAATTAAAAAAAGGAAAGGCGAAACAAAATTAATGTTTTTAAGATGACTACCTTTTACTTATGAACTTACCAATTATCCATTGAAAAATAAATAAATTTAATAATTTGTGTATGATGTCGTGTTTATTTTGTATAAAATATTTAAATTATTATGTTATAATTTGTATTAATACGTCAAATATAAAATATAATTTTTTATTTTTATCAATTTTAGTTATGATTTTTTAAAAAATTTTAAATTGTATTATTTTTATATTTTTTGTATCATTTTCATATATTATATTATCGTATCTTGTTTAAAATTATTAAATCTAAAAAAATATATTTTATGATTTTTTAAAACTGAAATTAACATTCCTGTTGCAGTTAAAAAAATTCGATTAAAAGGAAGTGTGTTTGGAAAGTATCGTGAAAATTTATTGTATAAAACTATAGTTTAAAATATTAGAGTATTTGTAATTGTTGTGAAAAATTATTGTATGAGAATAAAATAATTAAAATAGACATGATGTGAAGAAATAATGAATAAGTCATTTTTAATGTTATTTGAGTAAATTAATATTAAGATGTATGAAAGCGTGAAGTATTTTAAAATTTAATCTTGATAAAAATAAATTTACTTCAGCATAAAAATTTATTTCCAAAAATGAGTAGTTATACATATATTATTTATCAATAAATAATTGATTTAATTGATTATGGTTTATTTTTTTCGATTAAAAAATTTTAGATTCGAATCTTATTGTTGATCACTTATTGAAATTATTTCGAATATATGACTTGCAGTTATTTATCATAAGTCATTAGGTACTATATATCTTATTTTTATACAAAAAATTAAATAATTTATCTATTTTTATATTTTCTTTAAAAAGAATACATACATTATACAAATATAACTTGTTTAGCGTTGCGGTGGCTGTCAGAAGAAGCAGTTTGGCAACCAACCGCTATGTGAAAGAAGCCCATGAGTTATTACTACTTCGGCAAATATTCCTTAAAATGACTACATAATTAAATCCAGGGAGAATAACGGCTTGAGGCAGTTAAAAAAATGGGACCTCTTTATAATATATGTTAGTTCCCTTTGGCACCAAAAACAGACAGTTAAAAATTTGGCTAGCGGGAAATCTAGATGAGGCACCTGGGCCGGTGGGGTCAAAGTTCAAGCGTATGCTTCAATGACAAATCAAATCACATCCTCCGCACACACGCGATTTCGGCACAAATCCGCCTGCCAATTCACCCAAAAAATATTTTTTTTGCTTATTACTTCCTTTGAGAACTCTATATAGACACCATCTGCATTTTTTTCATTAGAGGAAAAGACGAACCAAAATTCTAATTTCTATCTGAAAAGTGAAAACAAACCTCAAATATTTTTGTATCCTTCCCTTTTGCGATTTTTTCACCCAGCTTTTATAAATCACACGATCTCAGTGTTTCTTTATCCTGAAAAAAAAAAAAAAAAGAGAAAAATTTTAAAAATGGAGAGATTTTTTTTTTATTTTTTCCCGGGAAATTGAAATTCATCATTCAGTTTGAAGTCTTTTTTCTTCCACGTTTTGTATAATTTTGTTTTTTCCATTTAGAAGGGCGATCACGAAGTTAGTTATCTCAGAGAAAACATAAACTCGTTTCCTCAGATTTTCAGTTAAAGAGGCGGAGGTGATTTTCTCCTGATTTAGATTTTTAGAGCTTTTTTAAATATACTCTCAGTTTCCACCAGATCTTAATCAGTTGTTTCACAACCATCTTTACAATCAGGTAAGTAAATGTTTATAGTTTCCTTTTCGTTTTATTTAAATTTATAGTTTTCCGCTTGGTTCCCGAGAAAATACTCTTCTCACTTGCAACCGATAACGGTATTCAGTTTGTTTAAACTAAATTTGAATATTTGAATCGTTATTTTAGTATTTCAGCTTTTTGCTGGAATTTGCTTTCTTTATTTTCTTTTTCTCCAGGCATGAGATTCTCGTGATTGTTTGAAGTCTCTTGTAATTAAAATTATCGAAAAGGTTAAAAAGATTATAGGAATAAGAGCAGATTTTAAGATAACTTTTAGGTCAGGTTTATGTTTTTGGTCGTTTTGTTCTTTATCCTTCAACCTAAGGAAGCGCGGTTGTTGCTCTGAGTTAGAAATTCTCGGTATTGCAGCACTTTTTTATTTTTTGAATTCAACAATTTTAGGATTTTAGGTTCTTTGTTAAAAAAAAAAAAAAAAGAAGGCAAATTTTCACTTGATTATAGAGTTATTCAATTTAGGATTTGGAATTTGTCTAGTTTTTGTGTTTGCCCAGCGAACCGTCATCTTCTGTCAAAGGGTAGCACGTGGTTGCTTGCTTTGTGGAGTTATTAGTTGAGGGTTATGTGGAGTAGTTTCTTAGGTGGTACTTTGTAGCTTCTTATGGGGATTCTTGCGTATTTTTACTATATACTTATAGAAAGTATAGAAGGGTCTCATTAGCTTGTGTTTTGTTGGCTGCTTTCTGTATGAACTGGTTAATTTGATTGAACTATAATATCAGCTTAGAGTTAAGTGCTGCAAATTTTTTGTTTGAATCTCAGTTCTAATTAGTGTCCGTCTTTGTTAGTTTATTTTATCTGTAACTGTTGTTTTGCTTCAAATTTAATGCAATATTTTGGTCACATCAGATCTTTATACTGAGGGTCTCTGTTTATGGAGAATTGGCAACTGAATGCCTGCTAAATAATGCTCAAAAGCTCTTGCAATCTGAATTTGCCCATAGTTTTGTTATGAATATATGGTCAGACGAATTTATATAGAATGGGGATCTTTACATGCAGGTTCACAACTTATGATGGCCTCTAATTAGAAGGAGTTATTTATGTGTAGAAAAGGTTACTGAGATGTGGAGGTAACTCAACTTTTATTCCATCTTGGTGACTGCAGTATGGTTAGTAGAAAGACGAATGAGAGCATGAGACTTATTGTTGCAACATTTGTTGGAGTAGTTTTTGGCTTCTTCATTGGAGTATCTTTCCCAACTTTCTCATTAACAAAGGTAGACAAGTGTTTCACCTTTAATTTTATATTCGTCATTATGCATCTATTCAATGATGATCTTTTTTGTCCACATAATGGAATTTTTATGTTATTTCTGAATTTGGCAGCTTAATCTATCATCCAGCACTCTTACTACCACTGATTTCAAATATACCAAGCACACAAAGTTAAGCCCTTCAAGCTCAACTCATGTGCAGCATCCAATTGGTAATAATGGAACCTCTGCCAATGTCACATTGAAGAAGGTATACGTCCTTTTCTAACCTCAGCATTTCTACAATATGCTGAGATAGAGATTTTGCATGCATCATTGCAACCAATTCTCTTAATTCTTAATTGAATTAAAGCTTAATGTGAGTAAATCAAACTTGTGGAAAAATGTTCTGAAAAAAACCTATAGTTTTCCACAGCAGTTGTCAGGCTTTTTGTCTGATTTTTACTCTGTAAAATTCAATAGTGTGACTAGTCTTTTCTTGTGTTACCTGTTTTCCAAAATTTTGTTTTTTGAGGGGGGAGAGTGGAATTCAGTGGATAGTTTTCTTCACGTGCATTTATTTTTCTGCACTCCCACTTTATTTATTCATTTCTTGCTGTTTCTCTTGCATTATAGGCTTTAGGTATTTGTTGAAGAGGGGGTGGGAGGTTTTCCTTGGGAAAACAAGGAAATAGTGTGATGACTGTGGTCCGCATGCCATTCAAGCTCCTGAATTCAGGGGTATTTTCTATATTTCATTTTCTGCAATCTGTTTCTTGTAGAATATGATTAAACTCAATAGTTCTCATGGTAAATCATAATTGGTTCCCTTGGTTTACCCGTAGAACTGAATAAAACACCTAGTTATATAAAAAAAATGTCATCTATTGCTCACTCTTAGCCTAGCATGTATCATACGTCAATGCATATGTGCCTACATCATCCGTATATGCACGCATTTATACCTATGTGTGAGTTGTGTATTATGTGGTAGTATGGTAGACGTTTCTTTATGCCATTACTGGCATATCTGAATGCACTATTTGAATCCATCTTTTACTATCACCATGTTCCTAAATGATTGTGACTTTTGTGTTTGATGATTTTGTAGGACTTGAATAATATGTTGCTACTCTAATATGCCATGTTTTCGTGCTTCATTTATGACTGATGCAGATTTGGGTCTCATCAAATCCTCGAGGCGCAGAAAGACTACCACCAGGAATTGTTAGAGCTGAGTCCGACTTATACTTACGCAGATTGTGGGGCAAACCTAGTGAGGTGTGTTTTCTTGGACCCTTAATGCGTACAACATATTTTGAGCCCGGAATTTCTTTCAACTTTCTAATGCATGCATGAATATGATTAGCTCTTTATGTTAAGATAATTTACTCTGGTTTCAATCAAATAAATTTTATAAATGAAAAATCACTTTTGCTATTGTTGGAAACATCTCTTTCTACAAAGCTTCTTGTTCTTCTTGTTCCAGGGCATATGCTAAATTATAACTGAAACAAACAACTATATGTAGAAGTGTTAAATTTGTGACACGTTGATGTTGATGCTAGGGATAAAGGGAAGGAAGGGGGTTGGAGGGGGAATAGTAGTAATGTATATTGGTATCTTGACCGACTTAACTTGGTAATTCTAGCCTGGAAAGAAGGAAAAAGGAATTTGAACTACCATCAAAGAAGCAAGGATCTTGTGCTTTGGGGTGAAATAATATCAGCATCTTTGGTTCCTTCAGCATAAAACCTTTTCAAGATGCCTAAAACATTGCAGGATCTCAGAAAGGCAGATAAAAATGTCTGAGAGGTTGTTTGCATTTGTTAATTTCCACAAATGTGATAAAAAAAAACATTATTACTTGTACCAGTCCATAGATTTAACAAAGAACTATATCAGATAATAATAAAACATATTGCAAGTTTTTCTTTTACCCTATTTGTGTTTGGACAATATTGACATCTGCAGGACTTGACCAGCACGCCAAAGTATCTTGTCACATTTACTGTTGGTTATGATCAACGAAAGAACATTGATGCTGCAGTTAAAAAGGTACCATGCTCTTTCTCTTTATATATATATATATATATATATATATATTTATGTGTGTGTTGTGTGCATGAATGCATGCCTCTGTGTGTGTGTGTGTGTGTATGTGTGTGAAAGTGCATCCTTGTGTGCATCTTCAAAGAGGCATTTCTAGAAGGTGGGCAGGATGCTGAGGTTGGGATGGAGTTTTCTGATGCTCATGTGTTTGTGCGGAGCACATTTCAAGTTGTGACCAAAAACATGCTTCCAACAGTTTTCAGGGAATTTTACTATCCTTCTCTTTCATTATGATGGTCGAACAACTGAATGGGACGAGTTTGAGTGGTCAAAGCAGGCAATACATGTGAGTGTTCGGAGGCAGACTAAATGGTTAGTAGTTGTATTTAGAATATAGATTTACAAATTCAAAGCCTACTTTTGCTAGCAGGATTGAATTCACTGACTAGTTATTATTTGTGTTGCTTCAAAATTTTAAAGATTTAACTCATAAAGTTTTTATTTACCTAGGTGGTATGCCAAGCGGTTTTTGCACCCTGACATTGTGGCACCCTATGACTACATATTTATCTGGGATGAGGACTTGGGGGTTGAGCATTTCAAGGCAGAAAAGTGAGTGTTGGACATTGTAGGACTTCTTAATAAGTACTTTGTTCATGTTTAACCCATTTCCTTTAAAAAGAAATTACAAAAAAATGTTTTATTTATTTCATTTTTCAGATACATTAAATTGGTGAGGAAGCATGGACTGGAGATTTCACAGCCTGGTCTGGAACCAAATAAAACGTTAACCTGGCAAATGACAAGGAGAAGACGTGATCTCGAAGTTCACAAGTAAGAACAGTGGGGCAACTATACCAGGAATCATTGAATTCAGATTAATTCATTGAATGATAAATTATTTGTACATTTTCAAATTTTGGTTCAGAGAAACAGAGGAGAAACCAGGCCGGTGTAATCATCCACATCTTCCTCCTTGTGCAGCGTATGTATATCTTTGAACATTATTGTTTGTTACTGTGCCTTAATTCTCCATTGGTTCGGTAAATATTAGTTTTCTTTTTCTTTCATAAATGTAGGTTTGTTGAGATAATGGCTCCTGTGTTCTCACGAGATGCATGGCGGTGTGTATGGCATATGATTCAGGTATTGAGGGTCTACTTGTTCATTTTAACATTCCTGCAATTTCCAGTGGTTTTCTCGGCTTACTCATTTTATTGTTTTTCTTGGACAATTTGCAGAATGACTTGGTCCATGGCTGGGGTCTTGATTTTGCCCTCAGAAAATGTGTTGAGGTTAGCATCCCGTTGCTCCCAGTCTTTCCCTCATCTTTTCTGTCTTTTTTATGCTAAAACTGTTTACTAAGTACGGATATATCTCTTGAAAACAGCCCGCCCATGAGAGGATCGGCGTTATAGATTCTCAGTGGATTGTTCATCAATCTGTTCCGTCTCTTAGGAACCAGGCAATGAGAACTTTTCTCTTCCTTCCAATTCCTTTTTTTTTTCTTATTATTTTCAATTTGTACAATTCTTGATATGGTTGAATGAAGCACTTATAATAATTTGCTTTTGGTAGGGAGAGGCACAAGACGGGAAGACAGCATGGCAAGGGGTATGCACTATGTTCAAACTTTACTTCCTTTTCCCCACTCTCTCTCTTTCACTTTTCCGTTTTTTTTTTTTTTTAGTACTATTAACTATATATTTTACTTTTATGCAGGTAAGGGAGAGATGTAAAAAGGAATGGATTATATTTCAAAAGCGGTTGTCAAGGGCGGAAAGAGCATACTTCAAGCAGGTAAATTCAACATCCCATTAAGAGAACAGCAAATACTAGTAAGCTTGACCGTATACATTCATTTCTAGTACACTTAGAATTTTGTTTTCTTATTCACATAAAATTTGTAGAACCCATCATTATATTTGTAACCATTGTTAATAATCACAACTTTTTGGTCCTCAAATGACAATAATACTTAATTCCATGGCCTACATTTGCAAGGCTGGTTTTGTCTCTGGTCTTTCATATCAAGATCAAGCATGGAAATTTTTGTTTGGAAAACGAGAAAGAGTCCGAAAATATAACGATCGGAATAGTTTGAAAAACACAATTTTTATTAAAGATTACATAATTTAGAGTCTTTTGTCTGCAGAATTTCGATCATTTAGCATAAGCATTTTTGTTTTCACTATAGAAAAGTATAGCTGTCATTGTATTTTGCCGTGTTTCTTGAGAATGCTGTCCGTTTACAATGCTGCTCCAAAGAAACGGACACTTCCATGATGCAGGGCGTGTACATGAAGATAAGATGTGTGGATATGAATAAGTATCACCTCACAATCAAATGGCTGTGTGATGTTTAAATGGGACCATTGGTTTGTTTTGTAGCACAAACTTTTTTAACAAAGTGCCAAATTCCATTCTTATTTCCATTGATGATTGAACTACTCACAGAATTCCTGGGACCTTTTCCCCGCCCCGCCGATCCTAAAATGATTTACCCAATGTTTCTGCTGGGTGAAAATAACGTAAAAAAAACTTGGATGCTTTTGAACTAAATTTAGTAATTGTAATTATGACATAAAAATTATATAAAAAATATGAAAATAAAATAATTTAAAATTTTAAAAAAATTATATATAAATTTGATAAAAATTACAAAAAATATATTTTCTGTTTGATATATAATTCTCATATTTTATATTTATTTGAAATAAAATAAACACGACATATATATATAAATTACTAAATTTATTATTTATTGGAAAGGCAAAAAAAAAATTTTTTTTAAATTAAATTGACTAGTTGTCCAGCAAAATAATGGAAATTTTTATTTATTTTTTTAGTTTCTTTCTCAATTTTTTTTGTCACCCAAACTTCAGCATTATTTTTTTGTATAATACGAAACTTGTTAAAATGATATTATGAAGTATAAGTCAATTGATCAGAGATTCAACGCTAAAAATTCTTATTCAATGGTAGCTTCATCAAAATGATTATAAAGTGAAGTGGGTGATATAAAGTCGCTATAATTTAAACTTTTGTAAGAGTTTCACTGCTGATTTACCAAATTCTATTCAAAGTCTAAAAAAAATCAATGAGAAAATTAATGGAAAGTAATTTTGGCTAAATTTTTATGTGTCTTGCAATACCAGGAATTAAATACCTAGAGGGCGGAAGAATCTGGTGGTAGTTGCTGTTTTCTATTTTCCTCCATGGATATTTAAATCGGCTTCTATATGCTGACACCTTTTGGTTTTTGTCTTGGTTCTGGGTATTCTAATTTAATATGATTCCTAAGTTCGCTCAAAATAACGAGAAAATGAAAAAAATTTGATATTACATAATTAATATTTGATGTATTTTCATTATTTACTTGGCAATTGAGTTTTCTTCTTGTATTTTTTCATTTGCTTTTCTTTTTCAGAAAAATTTTCATCTGAACAACCCTACACTGTAGACATAAACGCTCTTTAACTTGGAACAGCCCCTACAAGACAATTACCTCATTCATCATATACTTGAAAAAAATTAAAAAAAAAAAAAGACAAACACAAGAATTACCATTAACCATAAAATCCAAAAATCATTATAAAAATCAAAATCTTCAGATTCTAGTAGTCAAAATCTTACAGTGTCCAAGCAATGGAAAATGATAACCAATAGCAAAAATATGCCTCATATCAACGGAAACATTTTCAAGAATCAAACATCACTTACTATTATCTATGTTTAATAATTTCACACAGAACACTATCAAACTACATAAGAACCACCTAAATCAAATACTTGAAAATTTCATTAAACAATTAGCAATCAAACGAAACAAACAAAAATGTGAATTATCGGTTAAAGAATCTAATCCAACCAACATATTCTTCTCCAAATAAGGTTATAGGTTAAGGGTAGTATTGTGGCATGGATTGTCGATCATTTAATGGGTGGCAGAGGAAAGAACTTGAAGAAGGAAATACTATTTCTTTTTTAGGTAAGGGGAAAGAACAGAGATAAAGGTTTTTCTGGAGTTCTGTTTGAAAGAATGAATTTTTAATATTGAGGATTTCTGGAAGAGATTTGTGTTTATTACAGAGAATGTTGGTGGCAACAATGATACATTCATGTTGGCATTAGTTACTGATGGTTTGACGCTTTCGTCGATGTCTATCGCCGGCAACATTTTCTACGACAAGAGTAGAAAAATAGGACATATTATAAAAAAGAAATGAAATTGGATTACAACATTGTATTGTGTAGGCCACGTAGATAAATAGACAATGATAAGTTTACATATAGAATGAAGTAGCTCATTTGATGAAATAAGTTTAAAAGTACTCTAATTTAAGAATAAAGAATTTCATTACTCCTAATGGGGGAAAAAACTTGTTTTTAAGTGTTATATATTATCAATCAATTTTATAGTGATATCTTATTAATAGATAAAATTAAAAATAATCAAGTATTTTAAAATAGATTATTTTTAGTAATCAATTAAACTTAAATAAATTTATTAATATTTATTTTTAAAGATTTAATTATTTTTAATTTTACACATTAATAAAATATTATCTGACAATATATAATATTTATATATTTTAAATATTAACTTTAATATATATATATATAGAAGAAGATAACGTTTGCTATTAAACAAACATATTAAACTGAAAAAGAAGATTATGATAATGTTAATTTTAAAGATAAAAATTTTTTGTATCTTATTTAAAAATGGTTCTAGTTATCGTTATTTTTAACTTCTAATTTAATTATGTATTTGAAAAATAATAATACTCAAAAAGGAAAAAAAATGGAAAATCAAAAGAGATTTGGGTTACAGGAAGGGCACCACAGGTTTGATCCAATGGAATGGATCATGAAAGGTCTCACATCAAATGGGGCCTATTGAACAAACGTATCGTAAGAGTCTTATCATATTTGCCGACAAAAGCTGCTCATCCAAAAATAAAAATTTAAATTTAAAACATGCTTCAAAATGGACAATCTCGATTGAGGAGTTGACGTACGCGGCAGCCAGAATCGTGGAGTGAAAAGTCGTCCCACTTAAAGGTGTAAATGATATATTAGTACTCATAAATTATTCGAATTCGATTAGAAAAAAATTCGAATTCGGTTCGATTATTGTCGAGTCGAGCTCGAGCTCAAGTAACTCGATTTATCGATCGAACCGAATTCAAGTATTATTATATCTAACTCGAGTAACTCGCGAGCCTAATCAAACTTTTATATTTAAATATATTTTTATTATTTTAATTAATAAAATATTTCGAGTTCGAATTCGAGTTCGAGCATGAATAATCGAATTTCTATCGAGTATATAAATCGAGCTTATTTTTATATATTAATCGAGCTTAATCGAGCGAGCTCGAATAACTCGAATTCGATTACGAATCGAACTCGAGTTTGAAAAATAAAACTCGATCGAGCTCGAACCGAGTATCGAGCTTCGAATTATGAGTCGAGCTCGAACTCAAGCTTCTCACTACTCGACTCGTTTACAGCCTTAGCCCAACCCTTGCCACAAACTTACAGGACACGTGGCTTCTCCATTTTACCCTTCACATTCTTGTAAAAATTCCAGCGCAACCAGTTTTAGCGGTATTTTTTTTTTTTTTTGAGTTGCATATAAATGGATGGTGAAATATTTTTAATGAGATCAGAAATAGTAATAATGATAAAATTATTTATTGTAACTATAAAATTAAATTTAATACTAATAAGATTTGTAATGAAATATAACTATAATAATAGTACTGGTGAAATAAAGTATAATAAAAAAATATTTTTTAAGTTATTTTATAAAATTTATATAAAAAAAATTTTAGATTATTTGATATTATGAAATAAATAATGAAAAACTATCAAAAATTTTTTTTGTTAAATAATAATTTTATTAGTAGATAATAAAAAATAATTATAATAATTATAATAATAAATTTAAAATATTTTTTAAAAAATTTATATACTTACTTAAATTGATTATAATATAAAAGATAATTATATTTTTATATTAAAAGAATAATTATTTTTTAATAAAAGATAATAATAATCGCACCATTCCTTATTTTCCAAATGCTCTGTCCAATGCAATTGCAAATATATATATATATATATATATTAATCTCACTGTATCGAGACTAAGTTTTAATCATTGAAAACGCAAAATCACTCTCAAACATAGGCATGTCATCGGGTCGGGTTCAGATCGGATTTTGTTCGCCTTGAATTCGATCTGATTTTATGTTTTAGTACATTTGAATTTGATTTTATCCGATTTTTTTATACGTAAATTTGATCCGATTCGATATTATGTAAATAATATCCGATTCGATTCGACTCGAAATTAATAAAATATTATTTTTTAAAATATAAAATATTATTTTTTAAATATAAATATTTAAAAATATCATTATATAAATATATATAATTAATTAATTAATTAATTAAAAAATAATTTTTTATATAATATCAGATCGAATTTTAGGCATATCCAAATTCGATTTGACTTCGATTATTCTCTAATTATATTCGACCTGAAAATCGAAATTTAAAAAAAAAACTTAATCCCATAAGATCGGGTTGAGCGAAACCGTCGGACGGGGTTGATTGCCGTCCCTACTCAAACATCACCCATCTTTCACAAGCACTACACGTGTCGCACCTGAACCTATTGAGCCCACCCCTGGTTAAGATTCGTGAACCAGGGTTACACACTGGTGGTTAGCATGAGCCCATGTACATGTATCACCCCCACCCAAGCCCAACTTGGTTTTTATGTTTGGTGAAACACAAGCTTTGTTAATGTTTATGTGAAAGCAGATTGCTGTTGCTGCTTGCTTTCTAATTTGTTTTTGTCTTTCCCAGCTGGAAATTAACTCTTTCCTGTTAGCCCATCCATTATTTAAATTCTTTCCTGAATTTTATAAGAGAAAGTGGTTTAGTTAGAATTTTTAGTTTTTGTTTTGGTGGGGTTGTAGGGAAAAAAGCAAAGACGGGACTGTCGAACTTCCTTACTTCAGCTGAAGGGGTACTTCCAGTGTTAGTAATGAATACAGTTCTGTCAGTGGCTTTGTTGAAAGAGATGGTGAGATCTTTACTCCAAGTGGTGGGTGCCACTGGGATTGGCAGCTCTTCTCAAATTTATATATTGAGGACTCAGATGGGTACCTGGAAGAGATTAAAAATACAAGGGAGAGAAGGATATAACCCAGTTCAAGTCTTTGCGCCACAGCAGGTACTCATCATCATTTGAGGCTTCAGCTTTTGCTAGTTCAGCTGGTGCAAGTGGCGCTTGTTGCAGCAGTAGCAGCAGTGGCAGTGGGGGTGGGAGTGGATGGGCTAACAATGTGGAGTGTTGTGTGTGTTTATGTGGGTTTGAAGCAGATGAGGAGGTCAGTGAATTGTCTTGTAGGCATTTCTTCCACAAAGGTTGCTTAGAGAAATGGTTTGACAACAAGCATAGTGCGTGCCCTCTCTGTCGATCTATTCACTAGAATGGGAGGGGCGTAATTTAGATCTTTAGATCAGAGGAATACTTGGTTTTTTCTCAATATCTCATGTACTCCTTTCTTTTTCTCCCTTCTTGGTTCATTTTTGAGCAAAAACACAAGCTAGGGAAAGGATTGTAGTATAATAGTCTTTGTCTTGCTCTCTTCTGTGTGTTACTGTTTGTACATGTACCACAAATGGTATAAGAATAATAAAAGAATGAAGGGATTGAAGAATTTTTGAACTCCTTTGTGCCTTTTGATTATTGCTACTTCTGTTTCCAAGTTTAGGCCCTGGGCAAAATTTTTCGAGTGTCCCTCAGTATCGGTGTAGTGACTTTACAAATTTCAGACAACAATATGAATGTTTTAGTAGTCGTATATAATATCAGATGAGCATTTCTTTCTTGCCAAAAAAAAATGCTGCTATCATGGAGGCTTTTCTAGTTGTTCATGGTCCGTATTTCTACAAAGTTTTCGAAGAAATTCAGGTTAGGGGTGAAGAATTTTTGGTAACGTATGTACTTTTAAGGCTGCTACGACCAGGCAACTCTTCTAGTTACTAACAGCGTTAGACTTAGACACCCAATATTGTGGTTTCTAATTTTGTCGCCATATATTGACAAGGAAAGTTACAATTAATTGGCACTTAAATAAACAAGATGTTACTTGCTGCTGCAAAATTGAGTGGTCATGCTTTCCCTAACGTAAATTTTTGAGATGAAATGTCCATTTCCCAAATTAATAGACTTGACTTGAATTCTGATCTGAAAGATTGGATGGAATTTAGGCTATATTGTATTCTAAAGAAAACAGATACTAAAAGGCAAAAGAAAAAAAAACTGTAAATGTTTATATCTGCTGTACTATTACTGTCCACTTTGATTTTTGAAAAAGCGTTAAGAGTAGCCTGGAAAAGTTATGGAACTTGCCCAAAGATCTGGCCTGGAACCCTGAATTACTGTGCTCATACCTCATTGCTTCATGCTTCATGGTTGTAGGAGCTAGTTGAGTCCTGTTAAAACTTTCATATTCAGAGCTTGCAATCAGGTTGGGGTACTTACCTCCAGTTGAGGCCACAGGACCAACATTGATGACATAGACACCGTTGAAACGTCCATATTTCTCTGGACTGGCAACGAAATGTTACTTTCGGTGAGCCAGGCATTTTTGTGCATATTTTGGGCATGCCAGACTTCATAATACATAGCATGGTTTCCATGAAACATCATGTGATGTGTGGAGAGTTAAGGAGATTCCATGAAGCAATTAAACACGGTTGGCATCCCCAGAAGATGACCCTGATATCCATTTGCCACCTTTTCTGGTCCATGGAATAGCTTTGCTGGCCAAATCCATAGCCTAGTTGTAAATTGTCTAGCATGGTTTCTTGATATTGAGAATAGATGTGTAATATTGAGCTTGTATATTTCTCTATATATAGACATTTGCTTGGGCGGATAAGATAGCATCTCATACCCATATTTCACCAATGTTGGATTCTATACTTTACTGACCAAATTCAGCAGAGTACTGGGCTATGAAATAGATATCAAAAGTTCGGATTGGTTATTCATTAATAAAGGCCTATAAAAACAAAGCCAGAATATGTTTCACCTGTTATCAAGGTTCTGTTCTCACCAACAAAGTTAAAATGGATTACAGAATAATTTTCCAGACTCTTAAGACCTGAAAGTACCCAGGTAATTTCATTCAAGCTTCTGACATGGTAAGAAACAAGGCCTGATGCTCCAATACTGTTTTCAACATATCAATTTGTGGTTTTGAACCTTACTAAGCATTGACAAACTAACCCTCGAAATTGGCATGTGTAAGCATGCTCATTTTAGTAATGTAGTTTTGATTTTTGAACTCATCATATGCTTGGATTAATGGCTATTCCAGAAATGATTGGGTTTATCCACACTAATATAATCCTTCATATTAAAAAAGTATAGAATAATTTCACTAATTTATTCATTTTCAACTATCAGCAAGTGCATCAGCCCTCACAGTTTGGCTAGACAGTTTAGCACGGTATGGTTGGAGGCAAATGCCCATCCTAGGGTATTTGCATCATCTTTTCCAGATGCGACAAGTAATGCTATAAATGGAGCATTCCAGCCAACTTTAGTGCCACGATCATTTTCTTCCAAGTAGTCATTTAGATTAGGAAAACATGGTAAGGATGAGAACATCAGTGATGCCACTTTCCTTACATCATGGTGCCTTTTGTCATCTGGTACTTAATTTTGCTCAAGGATAATAAAAAAAATCTTTATGTCTTAGCGATCGTGAAGACTTGTGACTTGTTTTTAGCTTCCAAAGTTTCAAGACCTTCAAATAAAAAAATAAAAAGATAATCTCATGAATAATCCCTGAATAATCCTTAAATTATAATTATATTTGAAAAACTATTTGTCAATCACATATTATCATTTGGCGTTAATAATATTAGATTAAGTGTTATATTAATTAATAAATTTATAATTTAAGTATCACATTAGAGAATTTTGAAATTCATGTATCATATTAAACTTTTTACTTTAATTTAAAAATCATTAATGATATTAATAAAAAAAACAAAAGAAGTTTTGACAACAGTTCCCTGACAGTGTTACGAGCAGGATTCCATACATAAAGCAGTAGTAAATTACAGAAATTGCTATGCCAGACACGAATATATTTATATGAACAAGATCAATCCATTGCATTTGAGTTGGATATCAGCGAAGAATGACATGGAAATAAGCTACAAACACTGGAAACCAGGGGCGTTGATGCAGACCACACATATTGAATGGACTATTCTTTGGAATTGCAATATTCAGCCGAACCTATGTGAAAGCCAAGTGATATCTCAGTGTTGAAGAGTATACCCTGTAGAGGTACTTCTCGAGTCGGGATTTTAACCTTAATTCCGCCAATAAGATTATTGGATGATTGGGTTTTACTCATCTTATGGCTTAAATCCCTTGGAATATTATCTGGAAAAACCGATTGTCATACATGTACTATTAAACAAATTTTGAGGACTGCCACACATAACAAACTTCCAATAAAATATCTCCTTTGTCGTTGGAATACCATCACATGCTTGCTATGACATTTGTGTTGACTTTGAGGAATCAGTCCCGGAATCTTTTGGCCTGTAGCATTAGGCGACTCCTTTTCTAGTTCCAATTGTTGGGATACGTGGATTCTACACTCTATTTTCAATTATATGGTTAATGAAAGGTGTTCTTGAATCTTGATCCTCTTATTTTTCTATCTTATTCCATTATTCAGCAAGTTTCTGAATTTTTAGAAATGGAGATGCAATTGCTGACCATCATCCTCTTGGTCCCCTTTTTACTGATTGTGGATCATCGATGCTAGTTTCTTTCAAACCAAGCTCCCTCACTGGAGAGACCAATTATAGAGCAGCTGATTTAACATAGTCAATTAAGGAAGACCAGAAGCTGCTGATTTTGTTGTTCCTGTTGTTGGGTGTTTTTTTTTTTTTTTAATGTTACTTCATTGTCATCGGATACTTTGCTTTATGACGAAATGGGAATTATATTTCCTATTTTTTATTTATCTTGGAGAATTGTTAGAAAAGATACTTGATGAAAACCTAATGAAATAAGCATGTCATCAACAATCTGAAAACCAATGAAGGAGAACAAATTAAGGAATTCAATAAAACATGTATGAATAAATTGTCTCAAAACAAAACCTCCCAACATAGGGAAAATCACAGTAACCTCGTACTAATGTATTAGAGAATCTAAAATCACAGGAACCTCAAACTAATGTATTAGAGAATCCAAGTAATACACATGCACCCGCAACTGCAAAGCTGTTTCCGATACAGGAAGATCTTTGCTCAGTGAATGAAATATCTTCCACCAAGCAAAACTCAAATAAAAAAAAAGTTATATACAAACCTAGAATTTCCAAGCATTTATCCAACTCTTCAATCATTTTCCCAACGAACTGCCGAATAAAAGACAAGGCTGTGCAGTGACACACCCCAGTCAATATTTGTTCGGTTGAATCCTCAGCGGGGAGTTACACCAGTAGCACATGTGACTAGCCTTTACGGATACTGAAGTTATTAGAAGAATCACCCACTTTCTCTTAAACAATTTCCAGGTAAAAGAAATTTATATTTATCTGCGTTCTCTAGAAGATAAGATGGAAGATGAACTGCTGAGAAGGAATGAGGAATAGGTCCCATTTTCCCGATTATTTCCTTGAATGTGTACTCCTCTGGAAGCATGTCAAATAAATCAGCACCCTTGCAAATTACTCGCTGAACTCTTTTTGGGTTCAAATAATGAGAGAACCTCACTCTATCATTATGGCTGTAAGCTTTCATCTTAAATATGAACTCGCTGATATGGCGGAAGCAAAAACTGCAGTGCCACCCTGCATCTGCCAAAAGCTCATCTGTCTGGCGATAATGTGCATACCTTGTTCTACCCGTCTGATACCTATGGACTGATGCCCTCCAGCTGTTATTATCCACAAGAAACTCAAAAGAATAAAGATAATTCTTCAGCTGAAGATGAAGAACTTGAGGTATGTTGTCACACCACCTGAGCAGGTTGATAGTGTGTCTGCTTGGTATCTCATCAACATCTGACATTATCAACAAGTCATCATCAGAAATTCCTGCTATTTTGAGAAGCTGGTCTAATGCTACACGCTGCAGAGCCTCCTCAACAAATGGGTTTTCTCCTTTCTTAAACCTTCCTCCAATTGTCCCATAAGTCAATCGGGGCTCAACAAATTTGAATTGATCTCGATGGCTAGCAAAAACCATAGGCTTTGGAATACCCGTAAATGTTGAATTAGATTCAAGAAGAACAAATTGCGTAATGTAAGGGTACAATTCTTTCCACCGTACAGTAAGAATATCCACCTCATTACTAAACAAGACTGCATCATAAACCCGTCTTGGAAATTCACGAATTCCCCAACCATGAAGTTTGCAAAGCGTCTCCATTGACACATTCTCATGATAATAATGTGGGATATCATGGAAAGGTTTGGGTGGCGATTCCCATAGTGGCCGCAGAAAGTATGAAATCTTCTGCCCATGAACATATATACCGAATATGCATGTCGGAACCAGTACAAATAGAAAAATATAAGTTTTCAAATCAATGCCACGCAGTATGCAGCGGATTCTTGACATGCTCAGCCGGCTTGATTCCTGTAGCAAGGAGAAAATACTATATTAATACTCATTAGGATATACGAAGCAAATTAATATTTCAAAACAAGGGCACTCCAGAAACAACAAAGAATATTATAAATCCAGCAGGGAAAGTAATCATCCCTACCCCACTAAGCATCATAATTTAGAAGTAGAAATTTAGAAAAGCACTGGAATATATGCAGCTCATATGCGAATGGTAATGCCCTTTAAGATTCTTAGAAAAGTATGATAGAAGCTACAAATTAAAACAGCATTTTCCTAAAAAGTAGCTTCTTTTCAATAGTATCAACCCAATATCTTTCCAGTCAGTTTCTTCCAGGTGTTAAAAGCAAGTCAAAAGGTTAGTAAATCAAGTTCCCAAATTACTTAACTAGCTTTTTACGCCCTCGGTATCCAATTTTAAGGTTTTTGGTTAATGGTAACTAAATTGTGTTAGATTCTTTATAATCCAAAAGAATTCAACAAAATAGTTTCATCTAAACAATTTCAGATTGATAACAGATCAAAAGGCATACTCTCAATCCCCAAATCAAAAGCAAAGACATTTGTTCAAAATTTAATCCAAACCCAAAAAACAATGAGATTAACAGGCAATACCAAACAGCTAATTGTAGATAAAAAATTGACCAAGATCCAAAAATTTTCAATCCCATTAACTTCCCTCTCATTCCCTCGAAAGATTAACACCCAAAAATTGAAACATAATAAAAAAAAAAAAGAATAGATCAAAATAGTAAAGTACCTGGCCACAAACATCTCCACAGATGTCATCAGTTTTTTTAGAACAATAATGCTCTCCTCCTTCATTCGTCATACACCACATTTTTTTAGAAAAAAAAAGTTCCAACAGAATAAAAGAAAACCCAACAAAGAGAAATCTTTTAGCTAAGTGCTGAGAAACCCAGATAGATCAGCTTCCAGAAAACCTCTCTCAATCACTGTCTCCCTCTTTCCTCCTCTAACGGTTATCAACAATCTCTTTCTCCCTTTAAAATGGAAAACCCAGAAGGCCCAAAACAGCGAGACTCTTCTCCTTAAAAGCAATTAACGGAAATATCGAGCTTAAATAGTTAGTTTAATACCAAAAAAAATAATAAAATAAAAAAGATAAGAGAAAAATAAATAAAAATAAAAATAAAATAAATAAAGAGCTGGTGCCTCCCTGTCAATGGGTGGCAGTTGTAAAGATTAATAAGTAATGGCCATTAGAAGACTTTTTTTTTTTTGTTGTTTTTTATGAGTGAGCCGTTTCTCTTGTCTTCTACCCCACCTTTTCTCTACGTTTACCATGCTACCCTTGGGCTTCTTGTTCGTCGCGAAGTACGGATGAAAACGAGTTAAATTATTTGTGATCTGTTCTGATTTAATTAAAAAAACTTGAATTCGATTTATCGTTAAGTTGAATTTGAATTTGAGTTATTTGAATAATAAGTTGAATTATATTTAAGTAATTTAAAATTAAATTTGAGAAATTCATGAATTTAGTTAATTTTTTAATTTTTAATATACATAAATAAATAATAAAATATAATATTTAATATTAATATTTATAATTTTATTAGATCTAATCAAATTTATTAATTAAATTTTAATAATTTAATTAAATTATAAATCGAGTTTAAATATAAAAAAAATTTAATTAAATTTAAATTTAAATTTCAAATTTTTAAATTCAACCTAACTTGAACGTGACAATGAATCAATTTTACCGGGGATAAATGTAGGGTGACGAGGGTAATTTAGTTTAAAGGATGAGGATAGTTTAGGGATATGAAATTAAACGGGTTATTTGGCCGGGTCGGCCACGCGTTGGAATTGACTGGCTCATAAAGACAAAGCCTCTTCCCTTCTCCGTTTTCATGTTCGTGCGTCTGTCACGGTCCGTGCGTAAGTCTTAAGCCAAGTGGGTCTTCAGCTCCCGACCCATGACACGTGTGTCGTGCGTCATTGGTTTTGCTTGACAAATTTTACTAATTCCAGGTTTTTTTCTGGTTTTGGTCACTGACACGTGGCTCTCACATGTTGTTTTGAGCAGTTTAACGCCCCATTTTCGGCCTTTTGGACTTGTTCCCGTGGGCTTTGGGTCAGACCGAAGACCTAAAAAACATTGAAAACTTTTGTTAATGAATTAATTTGTAGTGTGGGTCCTACCATGAGGGTGATTTGATTTCCGCGCCCTCCCTTCAATTAAGGACCCACCCCCGCGTGCGATGCACGTGGTTTTAATCATTGAAAATTTATGAGATTCTCTGTCCTCACCCATATTATTACGTTCACCCATATTATTCTCTAATTATTACTATTATTGTTATTATTCACTGTATAAATTTTTATAATTAGTTATACAGTCTGTAATAAAGCAATCAAATTTGCATGTTAATGACAATTGGTAATTTGTAATACAATAAATAAAAGTAATCTATAATACAATATGTATAGTTGTTCAAGTCTTCATTTGTAAAACTATTTGTTTAAATCAAAATAAAATTAATATAAAATATATTGTAATTTAAAGATAAAAAAATTATAAATATTAAATTTTGTTAAAATAAGTTTGAACCTTATCCAACATAATAATAAAGGCTTATAAAATTCCAATTTACTTTCTTCCTCTCTTTTCTTTTTTAAATTTATTTACTTTCCTTTTTGAGTAAAATGATTGTTATCTCTTTTTTTCATATTTTCTTCCTGAAACATAAATGATTATTAGACCAAGTATTGCGTATGTCATGAATTTGTGTTCCATGGATAACTGTTTGGTGCTTAGTCAAAATTTATTCTCTCTTTCTTTTCCGAAGTAGAGAAAAATATATATATATATATATATATGAGAAGTGGAAATTATTAACCTCTTGTCACCCTGACATGCTTGGATTTTATTCCCATGGCAAAGCTGAGTTCATGACTTTCCAACGCGACTATGTTTAAAAAAAAGAGAGTGAAATGAGAAGGATAAATTTCCCGTAAAACAATAAGTGTTGAAAGTTAAGATTCACTTAAACAAGTGGGTGGAAGGAAGAAGGAAGACTCCAAATGGCAGGGTCAACTCGAAAGTCACAACGTGAAACACCAACCACTATCAAGTCAACAAACTCGTTAAATTTCAGGCCTTGGCCAGTGGTACCTCCCATGACTTAGCTGTTGCCTTGCAAGTTGCGATCATCTTATCGAGTCTTGAAATAAAGAGCACCATCAAAGAAGGCAGGAAAAAGGCGAACAAACAAATAAATAAATAACCAGTCTCCCACTACTTTTTATGAACCATTCAAGCTAACAAAGACTGCTTCTGAGTTTAAGAAGGAAATCAGATTAGGTCAATAACCTTTTTGAAGTTAGGCTACAGAGAGAATGGAGAAAGTTTCTTTTTCTTATTTTCTTAGTAGGCTTCCTAAAATCAACGATCTTGAGAAAAAAAAAATGATCACGCGGCAAATAATTTTACTCAATGATTATATTTCATTAAAAAATTCTTGAATCTACCATTAATGATTTCCACTAACATTAATTTTTTTTCATATTTAAAATTATTAAAAATTCAATGCTAAATTAATAAACAAGTAATAATATAATTTTCTTATCATTACCCAATTTCGTGCAAGATGTTGCCAAATAAACCAACAAATTTACTGATACGTCACGGTATTATTTTTTGGTTTTGTAAATGTAAGATAAAAATTAGATCGACCACGGTGATACCAACGAGACTAAGCACGAGTCAACTAAAATGTTTGTTTATTGGGTCGATTTTACTTTGCCTTTCCTTCAACATCATTCACCAGGATCCTCCACGTGTTGGCAAGTCCTCTGGACACGGTAGGATTCAGCAATTTAAGCTATGGATTGGTGACCAAGCGTGAATTAAGCGATAAATTGAATATAATATAAATTATTTATCTTACTTTAAATTTTAATTTAATTAAAAATATTCATGTTATTATAGAACGAATTAACTTAATTTAATTTGAATTAATTTAAAAAATTAAAAACCTAGCAATGATTTAAAACTAAAAATGATTAAATATAATTAAAATTCCAATTGAAATAATAAATCAATTAAAATTCATTATTTTTTAATCTTTCATAATAATTTAAAATTTTTTATTTAAATTTTTTTAATCATCTTTTATGTCTTTTGGTATTATTGTTTAATATTAGTTAATTAGCTTATAAAATACTTCTAAAGTAAAATTATAGCTAGAGAAATTAAGCATACTATATATGGCTATTGCGATATATATATATTACTTTTACGTATGTCAGTCAACTCTATCAAAAAAGATCGAACATAAGAAACCAGAAAATGTTAAGTTTCCAAGTAATTATTCCTTCGCAAAACCTTGTACTCTCCTAATTCTGTTTGTTTTCTTGCTTTGTCCATTTGCTTTCATTTCATATCATAACATTACCCTTGTTTACACCAAAATCAGCCTGATGGAAGCTGAATTATTCCTACTCCATCCAGCTTTTCAAATCTCCTAAATGACAATCCGTTTTTTCTTAATTATCAAATTAGAATTTGTCGTGTTATACATGAAAGTGGACTGAATTGACAAATAAATAAACTTGAATAAGACGTTTATTAATGTTATTTTGGAGTAATCAAGACACCATGAAACAACATTGAAATTATGTTAGAGACAACCAATCTTTTTCTTTTTAAGTCATAAGCTTCTTCGCTTTTCTTAACTTTTTTTGTTTGGCTATTGTCACATTTCTGTGAGCTCTTAGCACAGCCAAGATTTCTCGGAAACCCCGGCTTAAAAACAATGTTCAACGTGTCATGATGTGACAATTTTGAAATAATAAAAAATAATATGAAAAAAGTCTAAAAATAATACAATTTAAAATTTTAACAAAAATTATATATAAATTTAATAAAATAAAAAAATTATATTTCATATTTGATGTATCAACATGAGTCGTGATATATTAATTTTTATATTTATATATATTTAACATAAAACATACATGATATAAATATATGAATTGATAAATCTGCCATATTTGGTTATTATATAATAAATTGATGATCAGGGGGAGGGAGGTAGGGGCTTAGACGTGCGTAAGGTGATTGGGGGTGTGGAAGAACTCAAAGACAAAACGGCCAAATGGCTCTATTGCTAAGCTTTTGAAGAACATGTCACGTGCTTTTAGATTCTAAACAGCCTTTCTAATTAGCATCTTTCTAAAGAGGAAGATCAGTTAATGGAGAAGCAAGTCTTGGAGCTTAGGCTACAATGCAAAAAGGGAAAAAAAGATGGGGAAAGGGGTTTTTCCACCAGCTGGATTTGCGAACAACTGATCTAAGAAGCTTAACCAGAGGCAATAACCAAGGGACCGACTTAAAATGAACTTAATTGGCTTAAGCTGTAATTCAACCTAATCACATGCTCTAGGATAAATCTTAAGTGAGCGTTAGTTCAGTTAGCATTAATATTGGATAGATTTATAAAATTACTGATTCTAAAGAATTTAAACGTGTAATATTTTTTTAGGTGAATTAAATAGAAAGTGATTGAAGAATTAAAAGGATAAATCAAAATTAAAAAATATATATTTAATGCTAATGCCATATATAGTAGCTATACTGGTTAAAACAACTTTAAATTTCAAAGGTGTTACATGATTAATGATTGTGTTCATTTGAAATAAATGTGAAACATTATTCCAAATGTACTACTAGAACATTGAGTACAAAGGGCAACAAAGGCAGGATGGTCTTATGTAAAAGAATTTATCAAGAAATGGAGATGCAATAAAATCAATAATGGCAATAAATTGACAAACCAACAAGTAGAAAAATGAAATAATGGCAGAATATGTTGATAGTTTAGAATGTGACACATCTCATATTGAATAAAAAGATTTAATTATTGATGAATAAAATTAATTTTTGTATTAATTTTACTTATATTTTAAATAATTATGTTTAAAGATAAATAATTATCATATAATAAATTATCATAACTATTTAAATAGAAATAGAGTATTATTTATAAATGTTATGATTATATAGAAAGTAATAACCATTTAAATAGAAGTTTATATCTGTTCATTCATTATAAATAAATCTTTCAGTATAATCATTTTCACTACCTCTAATTAGAGAGTTTGAGATTTTATTGTATCCTAAAGGCATAATTACCTTTAAAAAAAAAATTTCATGCCT